CACACCTTTATTTTTTACTTCTTTTCATTATTTATTTTATTTTAAAAAACTGACAGATAAAATTGTATATATTTACGTGTAAAAGATGATGTTTTAAAGTGTATATACATTGCGGAATGACGAAACCTAGCTAATCAATGTATGTATTACCTCACATAGCTATCATTTTTTTGTGAGAATACATTAACTCTCAGCATTTTTCAAGAATACAGTATATTTTTAATTACAGTCACCACGTTGTATAATAGATCTCTTGAAATTATTCCTTCTATCTAACTAAAATTTTGTATTCTTTGACCGACATCTCCCCAACCCCACCCCACTCTTCTCAACTGCCCCAGCGCCTGGTAACCACCATTCTACTTTGTATTTCTATGGAATCAACTTGTTTAGATTACACATATGAGTGGGATCATGCAGTATCTGTCTTTCTGTGCCTGGCTTATTTCACTTAAAATAATGCCTTCCAGGTTCATCCATGTTTTGGCAAATGATAGGATTTCCCCCCCTTTTCTTTTGGCTGACTAGTACTCCATTGTGTGTATGTACCACATTTTCTTTATCTATTTAGGTGGATTTGATATCTTGGCTATTATGAATAATGTTGCAATAAACATGGGAGTGCACATATCTCTTTGATACAGTGATTTCATTTCTTTTGGATGTATACCCAGTAGTGTGACTGCTGGATCATATGGTAGTTCTATTTGGAATTTCTTGAGGAACCTCTACTGTTTTCTATACAGTCTATACTGATTTACATTCCTGCCAACAGTGTACAAGAGTTCCCTCTTCTCCATATCCCTGCCAACACTTGTTATCATTTGTCTTTTCGATCACAGCCATTCTAACAGGTGTAGGATGATATCTCATTATGTTTTTTTAAAAAATTTACATTTCCGTGATGATTAATGATGTTGGACATTTTTTCATATACCTGATTGCTATTTGCATGTTTTATTTTGAGAAATGTCTATTCAAGTCTTTTGCCAATTTTTAAATTGTATTGTTTACTTGCTAATGAGTTGCTTGAGTTCTTTATATATTTTACATATTAATTCCTTATCGGATGTATAGTTTGTAAATATTTTCTCCCATTTCATAAGTTGTCTTCTACCTCTATTGATTATTTCCTTTGCTATACAGAAGCTTTTTAGTTGGATGTAATTCTGTTTGTCTGTTTTTGCCTTTGTTTCCTTTATTTGCTTAGACCAATGTCATGAAACATGGCTTTATGTTTTTAGATGATCATTTTTCACTTAATGCACAATCATTGTAATTTTGGCATTTTAAAAATAATTCATTTATTAAAAAACTAATTGTTGAGCAATTATTACATACCAGGCTTTCTGCAAGTACCAGTGATCCAGAGATAACAAGGGAATCTCCTACTCTCAAAGAGCCTGCCATCTAGTGGGTGATGCAGTAATGTAATTGAGTAGAACATAATGAGATTAGCTGCAGAATAGCCTTGAGAACAGAACAAAGTTCTAAGAGAGCATAAAGGGGTGGCATAACTTAATTTTATCAAAAAAATTCAGGAAAACTTATACAGAGAGAAGAAGTTTACAAGTAACTATGTAGGGAGCTGTCATGGGTATTCCAGTTAAAAGAAACATGTGAGGAGCATAAAAGAGGCTGGCTTCTTTTATGAAAATAAAATATGACATTATGAAAATATGAGAAAATATTTATAAAAGAGGCTGGCCCATTGGGTTGGCTGCACATGTATGTATTTGTTAAGGTTTGGGAGTGTGTGAGTGAATGGTGGAAGGAAAAGCAGTACTGAAAGGAAAAGCAGTACTAGATCTTGAGCATTCTTATATATGACAATGAAATATTTGCAATTAATCCTGTAGGCAATGGAAGTTGGCAGAGAGGTTCTCAGTAGGGAAATGGCCTGATTAGATTAGATCACTCTGGCAAAGCTGCAGAGAACAGACTGAGAGGACGCCCCAGACTGGGAAACTAGTTAGTCCACTGCAATTGGCCTAACATTTGAGCAGTGTGGGAAGAAAGGAGGAGACATCTCAAAGAACTACTCAAAAGGTATACTTAGTCCAGTTTGGTTGAGAATGAATGACACGTGGGTAGATAGTAATGAGTCTAAGATGCTCCCTATATATCAGTATTTGGAAATTAGAGGGAAGAGAACACATTGCTCCATGCTAAGGACCAATATGAGGAGAAGCAGTTTGAAAAGAAGATGTGTCCAGTGTTCAAGGAGTGATTGTGCAGTAAGGTAGAGATCATTAAAGAGCCAATTGGAAGTTTAGAATGAAGTCTGGGTGAAAAATCAAACGTGATTAGTGGAAAGTCTCTTAGAGGTTAACCTATAATTTTTATGAAAACATAGGAATTTATTTTCATATTCCTAATAGCAAATGCAAAACCTTTAACTACACATATATTTAATAAATACATTTTATAGGTATCTATGTAAAATAAAGAGCAACCACCATACAACAAACTCAGTGGCAGAAAAGTTCCAGTGGAATCAGTATATTTAAATTCTACTGGGAGCATTGCAAATTAAAATTACATCTGGGGAGATTATATGGCAATATATAATAAGAGCTATAAAAATGATCATATCATTTTACCCAGTAATCCTACCTCTGGTTATTAAAGGGAAGTAATTCAGTATATATTAATGAAACTGATCTTATAGTTCTGATCTTTATAATAAGTTACAAGAAAATGGTTTAATATGTATGTGTGTATATTTACTTGAAGTTGAAATATGAAGGCTAAAAAAACGGGAAGATATTTAAATTGGTGTTAAAACAGCACTTAAAGTGACTACAATTATGAGAACACATGTATGCCAATACAGATTCACTGGAAAAATATTAAAAATGGAAACTGTCAGATGGTAAGATTATAGATCATTTTATTT